TATAAATAAAAGGCCTCCCCCCCCGGTTGCTCTTCTTGCAGTGTAACCAGACCCAACCCACGGGCATTAAGATACCCCGTCGCTATCTGGGGCTAATGGAACCGTTGCTTTCTCTTGCACCGACGCATTAAGACACTGACGAAGTTTTAAGAAAGATAACGAAAGAGAAGAAAGTTTCCCTAACATTCATCTTACTTCGTCCAACCTCAGCTAACTTCATTACACTATCCTGCGCTGCACTGCCCCCATCCCTACCCCTGTCCTTACCCCTATCCCTACCCCTAACTCTACTTCTTCATCTATCTCTACTTCTACTTTTCCCTTTACCTTGCCATCTTTATCCTATCCTACTCTACCCTTTCCTCTCCTTCCATTTCCTTCCTTTCCTTTTCTTTTATTTCCTTTACTTTTATTCCCTTTCAACTCAACTCAACCCAACTCAACCCAACCCAACTCAACTCAACTCAACTCAACTCAACTCAACCCAACCCAACCGAAACCAAACCAAACCAACCCAACCCAACCCCAAACCCAACCCCAACCCAACCCAACCCAACCCAACCGAAACCAAACCAACCCATCCCAAACCCAAACCCAAACCCCAAACCAAAACCCAAACCCACTCCAACCCCAACCCAACCCCAACCCCAACCCAGAGATAACCGCCTCACCCTAAGTTCTCGTTCTCCCTCCCTCCCCCCTGCCAGAGCGAGGTCCCGTGGCCCTCCCCGAGAGCGGAAACCTGTGCGAGGAGGCCCTGGGGGTGGCTGTGGTTCCCCGCCTGCGTCGCCTGCTGCACCGCCACCTGCCGCTGCACAGCCTCTGTCTGCTGCGCTACCTCACGGCCTTTATCCACCAGCTGCGTACCAGCAACCATAACACGTGAGTACAGAGGGGGGCGTGGATGAATGGGTGGGTGGGTGGGGGAGGTGGATGAGGAGTGTGGGTGAAAGTGGATTGGGAGGAGTTGGGAGTGAGTGTGGGGGAGGTGGATGAGTGTGGGGTAGGCGGATGAGGAGTGTGGGAAAAGTGGATAAGGAGTATGGTGGGGGCGGATGAGGAGTGTGGGTGAAAGTGGATTAGGAGGAGTTGGGAGTGAGTGTGGGGGAGGTGGATGAGGAGTGTGGGGGAAGTGGATGAGGAGTGTGGGTGAAAGTGGATTGGGAGGAGTTGGGAGTGAGTGTGGGGGAGGTGGGGGAGTGTGGGGAGGCGGATGAGGAGTGTGGGGAAAGTGGATAAGGAGTATGGTGGGGGCGGATGAGGAGTGTGGGTGAAAGTGGATTAGGAGGAGTTGGGAGTGAGTGTGGGGGAGGTGGATGAGGAGTGTGGGTGAAAGTGGATTAGGAAGAGTTGGGAGTGAGTGTGGGGGAGGTGGATGAGGAGTGTGGGTGAAAGTGGATTAGGAGGAGTTGGGAGTGAGTGTGGGGGAGGTGGATGAGGAGTGTGGGTGAAAGTGGATTAGGAGGAGTTGGGAGTGAGTGTGGGGGAGGTGGATGAGTGTGGGGAGGCGGATGAGGAGTGTGGGGAAAGTGGATGAGGGGAGTGGGGGAGGTGGATGAGGAGTGAGTGAGGAAGAGATGATAAGGAAAGAGTGGGGAAAAAATAGTATATAAGAAAGCGAGAGAAAGCAGGGAGGTGGGAGTGAGTGAGTGAAGGGAATAGGCGAAAGGTGTGTGTGTGAGAACGAGAGAAAAATAGGGAAGGGGAAGAGAGGAAGAGACTGTGATGAATATAGTGATATTGGTGTTGAAATGTTGACGTTGATGTTGACGATGATGAGGATGTTTTTGATGATAATGATAGTAATATGATAATGGTGATATTGACTATGATGAGGATGAGAGAGAGAGAGAGAGAGAGAAAGAGAGAGAGAGAGAGAGAGAGAGAGAAAGAGAGAGAGTAGAGAGAGAGTGATAAACAAAGGGAGATAAGAGAGAGAGAGAGAGAGAGAGAGAGAGAGAGAGAGAGAGAGAGAGAGACAAGAGAGTGATAAGAGAGAGAGAGAGAGAGAGTAATAGAAAATAGAGTGATAAACAAAGGGAGATAAAGAGAGAGAGAGAGAGAGAGAGAGAGAGAGAGAGAGAGAGAGAGAGAGAGAGAGAGAGAGAGAGAGAGAGAGAGAAAGAGAAAGAGAAAGAGAGAGAGAGAGAGAGCGGATAAAAGAAAAAGAGAAAGCGAAAGGAAAATTGCGGGAAACTCCGCGGCCAAAAAGCCTTAAGAATTCCAAGGCGAAGGAGCTGGTTCATCCGCATCCCCGAGAGAGAGAGACTCGGTGATTCAAGGATCTGGCTTGCGCAATCTCGCGGGCGTGGGAACCGCCCACGAGCCTCGCGTGGAGGTGTGCGGGCGAGGGGGGGAGGGGAGATAGAGGGGTGTGGGTGGGGGTGGGGGTGGGGATGGGGGTGAGGGTGTGGGTGTGGGCATGGTGGGTGGGTACAGAAGGTATATGTGTACGTTTGTGTTGGAGAGTTTATGTGCATTATGTGCGTGGGCGTATATATTTTGCTTATCTCTTTTCGGGAGCGTTTCTGTGCGTTATTTTATTTTACCTGAAAAAAAGAAAAGAGAAAGGAAATTCCTCTCGCCAAATATCTTTAATCAAGCCAACAATTTTGAGTATAAACGTTTATAATGATGCTGCTCACTCTTATCTCCCTTTCTTCCTATCGTTTTTGGGAGTGTTTGGCCGGTAGCTCACCCTTTCTTCGGGGAAAAGGAGGGGGAGGGGAAGGGGGAAGGAGGGGAAGGGGATGTAGGAAGGGGAAGGGGGGATGGGGAGGAGGAAGGAGGAAGCAGGAAAGAGAAAGGAGGAAGGAGGAAGGGGAAGGGGAAGGGGAAGGAGGAAGGGAAAGAGGAAGGAGGAAGGGGAAGGGGGAAGGAGGAAGGGGGAGGGGGAAAAGGGCGGGGAGGCAGAGGAAGGGGGAAGGAGGAAGGAGGAAGGGGAAGGAGGAAGGGGGAAGGGGAAGGGGGAAGGGGAAGGAGAAGAAGGAAAGAGGAAGGAGGAAGGGGGAAGGGGAAGGGGAAGGAGGAAAGAATAAGAAAAAGGGGGGGGGTGAGTGAAAAAGGCACGGGGAAGGAAAGGGGTAAAGCCTAAGGGAAAGCAGAAGGAGAGAGAAGGGTAAGGAAGAGGGGGTAGGAGAGGGGAATCAGCTATACGGGCAGTGAGAGAAAAGGAATAGCGAGGAAGAAAGATAAGAGAGAAGGAGAGAGAGAGAGAGGAAAACGATAAGTGAGGTGAATTGGTAAGGAGAGGAGGATAGAGGATGGGCGGAAAGATAATAATGGGAGAAGAGGGGCAGGAGGGAGAGAGGGAGGATAGAGGAAGGGCGGAAAGATAATAATGGGAGAAGAGGGGCAGGAGGGAGAGAGGGAGAGAAGAAGGGAGGGAGAAGGGAGAGGAAAGAAAAAGAAAAAAAAAGAATAATGAGAGAGAGAGGAGGGAGAGGGAAAGGCACGAGAGGAAAGAAAAAAAAAAAAAAAAGAATAATGAGAGAGAGGAGGGGAGGGAGGGAGGGGGGCAAGGCAAGACTTACATTAGGTCAAGGGGCGCTATACACACAGACCTCCTCCTCCAGACGTCGTTCAAGGAGAAAGGGGCTTCAAGGCCGAGGCTAGGAGGTCGAGCTCCCAAGAGGAGGATGACTTCTGCTGCCGAGAGATGGCGCTGCTTTTTTGTTCTTGTTATTATGAGGGGGAGGATAATGTTTTTTTGTTTGTTTGTTTGTTCCTTGTTTTGTCTAGTAAATGATTTTTGTCATTATTTTCTCTTCGTATTGTTGTTGTTGTTATTATTATTATTATTATTATTATTATTATTATTATTATTATTATCATTATTATTATTGTTATTATTATCGTCATTATTATTATTAATGCAGTTACTATTAACATTTCTATCATTATTAATTATTATTATCATTATTTTTATTGTAATTATTATTATTGTTGTGTTATTCTAACTATTGTTATTTTATTGTTATTATTTTTATTACCATTTTATTTTTTTTTTTTTCATTATTATTATTATGATTATTATTATATTATTGTTACTGATATTATTATTGTTTTCGATTATTATTATTATTGTTTTTATCATCATTATGATTATTGTTATTATTATCATTATTACTATTATTATTTTTATGATTATTGTTATTATTATTATTGCTATTGTTATTATTGTTATTATTATTATTATTATTATTATTATTATTATTATTGTTATTATTATCGTCATTATTATTATTAATGCAGTTACTATTAACATACACATTGCTATCATTATTATTATTATTATTATCATTATTTTTATTGTAATTATTATTATTGTTGTGTTATTCTTACTATTGTTATTTTATTGTTATTATTTTTATTACCATTTTATTTTTATTTTTTTCCTATATATTATTATTATGATTATTATTATATTGTTGTTACTGATATTATTATTGTTTTCGATTATTAATATTATTG